TATACAAGTTATATATATATGTTACCGCGAAAGACCGACATTGAAGAATGTCGACTTTCACCGGAGAATGTCAGCATTCACCAAATGCGTCGGTGAAATATCGAATATTGCATTACATTCTTGTACATTCGAACCCTCACCGGTGTATGTCGACAATACAGATATGCTCTGGTGTGTCGAAAAGAGAAGAGTATATGTACACGCTGTCATTGCAAAAGGAAGTGTTCCACAAATAAATGCAGTCGTAAAAGCAAGCGCCTCTTGTGCAGTTCAAAGTGTCATAATACACTCATGTCCATAAATTAAGGATAATGCAAAATCAGGCAAAGGAAAAGTTAGAAGCAAAACAAATTTGACTTATTTGTAAAGTTTATTTATTATACAAAAGGTAAAGAGCAAAAAAAGTCATTGTGACGTACCATCGGTTTGATATTATTAAAAAAAAGCGATTTTTTCTCCCTGGAGCAAATTAAAAAAAAAAAAAAAAAAAAAAAAACTATTTACAAAAAACCAATATTACATGGTTGGTATGATTGTTAATACATTGTATGAGTATCAAATTATCTATCTGATCTTGGGGGATATTACACCACTCAAAAAGCAACGCTCTCCGAAGTTCCGGTAGACATGTAGGAGGAGGTTGACGGGCTGCAAATCGTCGGCCAAGCATATCCCACACGTGCTGTACTGGATTAAAGTCCGGTGAGAATGCTGGCCAGTTCATACGGGGGATATCCTGCGATTTAAGGCATTCGCTTACGATGTTTGCACGGTGAGGACGGGCGTTGTCATCCATAAACACAAATTGTGCGCCCATGGCGCCCCGACACAAAAGTACATGTTGTTCCAGAATGACGTCCCGATAGATTTCGCTTGTCATGGTTCCAATTTGAACATGCAGGTCAGTTCTGGAACCCAGAATAATTCCACCCCAAACGAGCACTCCTGCACCACCGTAACGGTGTCGTTCAGTGATGTTTTCTTGGTGGTAACGGGTACTCCACATGAACGTCCGGCGAGAATCAGACTGCAAGCTAAACCTGGACTCGTCGGAAAACATCACACAAGCCCACTGTTGCGGTGTCCACAATGCATGCTCTCTACTCCAGGCTAACCGCAGGCGACAGTGAGTTGCAGTAAGTGGAACGCATCTGACAGCATATAGACCAATCTGCCCAAAGCGTCTGTACACGGTCTGCCTTGAAATTGTCGTACCAGTGGCTGAAGAGAGCTGACGAGACAGGTGTGAAGCTGTGCTCCGCCTGTTTCTTTTGGCAGTAACTGCCAAATACCGGTCCCCATTCGGCGTTGTAACTCTGGGGCGACCTGTGCTGTAACGTCTACTCATATTACCATCATTTTGGAATCGTTGGCAAAGCCTGTAGATGACACTCTGGGCAATTCCAAGTTCGTCTGATACTTCCAGTTGGTTACGCCCACATTCCAGACGGCCGATAATTCTACCATGTTAAAAATCATCCAAATGCGTCCTTTGTGTCATAACTATTCGGTTATTGCACTGAAATGCTTATAAAACGCCTGCGAACAATTTTACTTCTTTGCCTGTATTCCTTATATATCACTCTCTTATACTCTCGTCATTGTGACGTACCATCGGTGTCATCTGGTCACTTCCTGAAATTCGCATATGATTCTTGAAGATGTGTGTAGTGATTTTAAAGGGGATATATTTATTTTAGAGTTCGATTTCCGCATGACTCCGAATTATCCTTAAATTATGGACTTGAGTGTAGTTTAAGTTGTTGAAATAAATAAGATTTGAATCACGTAATTTAGTAAGTTTTTAACTTCTATTATTTTCCTTTCTCATTTTGAATGTACTGTGTGTTTTAAGTTCTCATGTTCTTAAGTTCTCATTATAAGTCTCAAGTGCGTTTTTTCGCGACTGAATTACGGAGAAGAAAATATAATATTCTTATATGTTCAATATTCACCATTAGTACATAGTGAATGTCGACATTTAGCGTTGTAAGTCAGAAATAAGAGTAATTAGAAAATATTTCGGACATACACCACGCGACTATGTGAATGTTGACATTCACCGGTGAAAGTCGACTTTCTCCAGATTTTGGTGTTTCACCGTAACATATATATATGTTACCGTGAAAGACCGAAATTGGAGAATGTCGACTTTCACCAGAGAATGTTAACATTCACCAAATACGTTGGTGAAAGATCGAATATTTGACTACATTCTTGTATATTCGGACACTCACCGGTGTATGTCGACAATCACAGATATGCTCTGGTGTAAGTCGAAAAGAGAGGTCATAAAGTGCCATAATAGTTTAAGTTGTTGCAATAAATAAGATTTGAATCACATAATTTAGTAAGATTTTTATTACTGTTATTTTATTTTCTCATTTAGTACGTACTGTATAATTAAGTAAGTTTTTAACTTCTATTATTTTCCTTTCTCATTTTGAATGTACTGTGTGTTTTAAGTTCTCATGTTCTTAAGTTCTCATTTTAAGTCTCAAGTGCGTTTTTTCGCGACTGAATTACGGAGAGGAAAATATAATATTGTTATATGTTCAACATTCATCATAAGTACATGGTGAATGTCGACATTGACCGGTGTAAGTCGACATTCTCCAGATTTCGGTGTTTTACCATAACATATATATCTAAATTCCGGGTTATGTGCAGTTAAATTACGTGTTGCTAATTCAACTCCAAAACGTTATGACACAAACTGCTTTTACTGTTGTTAAACCACACAATTTTCTTTTTCTTTTCCGTATAAAAGTTTGTTTCGCATCTTTATATGCGTTGCCATAATAGTAATTTTCCATCCTTTCTCAATAAAGTAATTTAGCCTTTTTTTATACATGTCCAGTTAAGAGGGACTTGATTGTATTTTTTCATCCTTACAATAAAATTTGAAGCCTTATGAAAAAAAAATTATTAATCTTTACCAGTGAATGCCAAATGCCATTTAACATAGCTTGCTTGAATAAAAAGAAAAGAAATATGCTGAAGTAAATGATAATAATATCAGTATATTTTCGAAAATGCAATAGTAACTTTAACAAATTTTACGATATAATTTTAAAAATAAAAGATAGTTTCAAATAAATATTTGGGAAATACCCACACTGAAATATAATCCACTTCAGTCAGAATTGTGGTTAAGAGAGATTGCCGCATACATAAATAAATCTCAAAGAAGTCACAACTGCCTTATAGGTTAGAGTTGCCTTTAAGGTACCCTTGTATTATTGCGAAATTGTTGTTTCATTTATCGCCAAGTTGTTGTCTCATTTATGACAACCTGAGTAGTTGAATGCTATGGAAACCCTATTATGACGTAATTGGTTGCGGTGAATTTGAATCATGGGGAAAATTTGGAAAATGTGTGTCGGATTTTAGGTAAGGGTTTGTTGTGTGATGGATTATTTGTTGTTTACCCGGTAAATTGGCTGAATGTGGTAAGATTAATTTGACGTTTCTATAGGATTTTGAGCGAAAGGGAAAAAACGATTAATTGACTGGTGTGTAAATGAAGGTTTACTTAGTAGCCATTATTAAGTGTCCTGTTTGGAGGAAGAAAATGCGTATGGTCGAACATCGGATATTTTCGAACGGAGGATATATTTTACTCTTATTTTTGTGAATTTATGTGGCTACATCAGCATAAAGATTCTAGTTCAGATAATTTTAGGAAGTGTTTGGATGCTGTTAAGGAATTGTGTTTGACTGAAGACGCGTAAATTCGTAAATAAGGTAAGTGGATATTTCCTTCGTGTAGTGCTAAGATGAATTTCCTTTTTTATGTTATTTCATTGTTTGAATTTAAAATGTAGTTTATTCAGATTATATATATATTTTCTGTTGGCTGCTTGCTCCTTTGACTTTTTAAGTGAATATAGTTTGAATGTGTGGACAAAGTCAAGGGAGTGCGCAAAGCCTAGTTTGTGAAATTCTCTGATTTTTTTTAAGTGAAAATAGGTCGATGTGTACATGAAGTCAAGAAAGTGCGTAGTGCCCGTTTTGTGCAATTCTGGGAAGTTGTTTTAGGTGAAAATAGGTCGATGTGTACATGGATACCGCGTTTGTGCAATTCTTTCTCTTTTTATTTTTGATTTGTGAAGCGGCTATTTTTGGGGCAAAAATTACCGCTACGCAAGCCAAAATAACAAGTCAAAGAATTGCACAAACTCGGTTTCCATGTACCGCCAAAAATCACCAAGTTTCGCCAAGGCGTACCCTAAAATATACTTTTACCTGCCTCATATATAAAGACATCTCAAAGAAGCCGGGGAAGTTAACATCTGTGCTTTTATGAAATGTGAGAACATAAAATTTATCAACCCGAAAGCTCTGACAAGGGCTAGTAAAATTTTCTGTCAGATATCTTCGAATATCATCCCCTGGGGTGTTTCCCTTCAAATTGAGGAGGGAATTTAAATGCACAGTTCTCGCTTTCTATGCCAGAATTTAATGGTTTGATTACACTTAATTAATCATTATGAAACATAACCTAACTAGTTGAAATTGGTTTAAATTTTAACAAATCAGAAACTGATATCGAGCTGTAAAAAAATCCAAGCAAGTAAAGGAAACATTTTTGGTAAATCAGACAGGGTTTGTCAAATGTTAACGTTTTTATACGCATAATTACATATTTTGAACATATTTTATCTTATGTATTTAATGTATCTTTATAATAACGAAATTTATCTTAAAACATTATTTCTTTGAGTTAATTCTAAAAACGTAATTGCTAACACGCTATAAAAATAAATACCAATCATAAAAGTTAGAAAGATTAAGAAATGTAATATATAATTAGGTAGACTGACATGTGCATTTTGTGCTGGCATATAATTTTCTACTGTAAAACTTCTACATGGATTTTTTGTAATATTTGTCTTAAATTTATAGATTCAGAAAAAGGAGCTTTAAAAATTTGTTCAAGAACAAATGATAATATTTTTAAGAATTATTATAGAAGCTGAAGAACAAAATCGACTTACCTCCATAACAAACCACAGCTGCTTTTTGGCATTTTTGGGTGAATGTAAATAAGTGCCGTGAAATTCCGGTACGAGAGGCTGACCACCAATCGATGAAAGAACTCTGAATTCCGATTCTATTTCCAACAGGTTTTCAGCAATGTTGTCTATTATTTTTACTGCAACTTTATTTCCTGAAATATCGAAAGAATGTTGTACTGTTCATCTCACATTTATGAGAGAAGCATTCACAAACTATAAATTTTTTTTTGAATTTTATACCCTGTAGAAGTTACGTTGTGTTGCTTTCGAAGCCGCGTATTGCATCTGATAAAAGAGAGAATAGTATTTTTCTCTCAGATAAAAGGGCAAAATAACTCGAGAAAGATAAAAGCTATTTCCAGAATATTGAATAATGTAAAAATAGTTAGTAGGCATGAAAAATTTATTTGTTGAAAATTCCTAGGCTCGTTTAGAAGAATTTAGAAATAATTTACCCTTTTACAGGCATCAAAAGGAATTTCATATCAAATTATGCATTGTTTTATTATATTTAACTTTAAAAGTTAGATTTGTACTTTATATATATTGTAAATATATATTTTAAAAGGAATAAATTAAAAACCTGATGCAAAAGGGATTAATTCTAAGCATAAAATACATGACTTTTATGAAAGAGAAAAATAAATGATTTTTTAGTTTAAGCTCGCTTTATATTTTCAGGAGAAGCTAAATTAATAATTGAATAACAAACTGAAAATTGAAAAGTAGAGGCAATTATCTAGTATTCTGATGGAATTAAAAATAAAAAAACAACAGGGTAATTAAATGTTCTTATCGAAAATAATTTCCAATTTTAAGTAAGAAAATTAAAAATTTTCAAATTAAGATAATAGTGAAATTTGTATCCAGTTAAAGGTAAAATAATAAATCACATTCCATAACATGAATTAAAAATCACAAAAATGAGCAGCTATTCAATTACAACTCATGCCTAAGAGATCAAACGAGACTTTTTGTTACTAACTGTCATGAAATTTCTTTTCAATTAAATTTGTTCTTAAATGAAATAAATAAAATTAATTACCAAAATACCTCAATAAAATAATTCAATTTTGTATAAAATAAATAGAAAATTAATTAAACACTTTTCATGACAACTAGTAACTTAAGACGAGCACCTCTGAAAGTATAATTCTGAGACTGTAAATAACACCAACGAACATTACTGAAAATGAAGTTCTTTAAGGTGATTAATTTACAGTAAATGAAGATCTAAAGCCTTGATAGGTCGCTCTCCAAAATAACTGCTGTATTGTTATTTCACCTAACAGATATTCAAAATCTACTCATTCACTTTACTATCACATGAAAGATACTTATAACTATATATTATTTTGTTTGAGTAAAATTTAAAAAAAAAGTATTTGTTATTCTTAAATGCCATATATAAAGGTGGTTATTTTTCATTCTAGCAATATGTATAATCGTATACAAGTTTAGATTACAATAAAAATAATGTTTTTTTAGACAAACAATAAAAGAACATTTATAAAATAAAACTAAGATGAGTTTATTAAGTAAGTATTTTGATCAAATAAGAATATTAGGAATCTTATAAATGCTTCCAGAAAGTAACAGTGTATATACAGCACATAATTATGGATGTAAATATGAAATTAAAAAAAGTTTCAGATTCGTTTTTCTTAAAGATTTTTTTAACTGCTATAAAGAAGCAGATAATTTTTTTTCGAAGATCGAAGGTCAATATTTGTAAAATGATCGGTTCTAGAATCTTTCCGTAATGCTGGCAGTAAGCAAATTGGAAAACGAATCTACACATTCTTCTATAGCTTAAAGAATAGGGTTACTTTCGCGACTTTTGTGTCAGCAGGGAAATGTCAAATTCTCCAGAAAAGACTAATGAAGGTAAATAGAATTTCTATTGGGCGTAATAATCCGAGGCAGTTCTTTCTGTGAAGAAGCGGATTCAATTATCAAAGATGAGCATAGATTCTAGAATCTACTTATTCATCAGAGGACATAGTCCGTTCCCATAGTATATGAATCGTTTAAGAATTAAGGAGAATGGTCTCTGTTGATACAGTGCACCCGGAAATCCAGATCAATATGTTTTAGCTGTCCAATACACGAAATCTAATAATACGCGTATCCCAGCTAATGAGCACTGGGGAGCGTGGCTGGAGAATTATAAAGCCTCTTTTATACATGCCTTCGTGGTATAACGGTAGCATATTCAGGGCGTATTTAAGAGTAAGAGTTCCAGGTTCGAGTCCCAGCTAGGGCATTGCTCATTTCTCGTGTTTCATATTTTAGAAATCCTAATGACTCTAGAATAACTGACAGAAATGTAGAAGGGATCAGGAACATAATCCCAGTTCTTACTTATTTTGCATCAATTATTGACACAGATTCACTGCACGTAGTTGCAAATGACATATGCATGCACTTAGTTCTGCACTAGTTTCTTTTGGTTAAGGAATTAAGCTGTTTGCTTACATGGTTTTCAGAAAAGCTTCCATTCCTAACGTTTAACCTTAATAAAGTTGCTAACGATAAACTTCTATAGCGGACAAAATTCACTCTTCATTCCTCTTCTAGAGTATGGAACAATGGGATGTTGGTTCGCGGTATACATATAGAATGGTTACCAGAAATATATGTCAGTAAAGTACTGCGTCAATGAATGCAAAAAATGGAAATTTTTGTCGAATTCCGTCGTACTTGCTTCGAAAAGCTTCTAATCCGTTTCAAAGCAAAAGCCACCTCGAGCTACTGCGAAAAGAAATTGAAAACAGACTTTCTGTACAGATCACTCTCCAGGACAGGGAAACGCGAGCTAACTCGATGACTGTCACAATCTTTGGAGTATCTGATGCTGGTACTATTGAGGATATTGTAGAGACCTTCTCCACTTTAGCTCCAAATTTGGAGCGCTATATATCCGCGAACCCCACTTAAAAGATAATTATAATACCAGATAATTTTAGTAATTAATAGTAGTTTAGTAGAACAGATCATTTCAGTTTGGTTAGTAAACGTAAATCAGCGTCTCATTGAAGAGCTTTCGACGCACCGAAAGGTACAGTGGGTGGACAAAAATATGGAAACACCTTGTGAAATGCATGTTTGAAAAGAAAGATAGATTTTAATGAAATATGTAGGTGGCGCTGGAGTTTTTGACTACTGACGCCACCTATACAACTTCGTAAATGTGCTAAACAGTTCAGTTGTTGTCGGAGTACTGTTATGTGAGGTTGTCATTGCATTATGTCAGAGTTTAACAGACTTCGAACGTGGGCAAATTGTTGGAGCACGTACGGTAGGTGCTTCTGTAAGCAAGGTAGCCGAGGTGTTTAGTGTTTCAAGAGGTACTTTATCGAAGATTTATTCCGCATATTTGAAAAGCGGAAAAACATCATCATCTGCTAAATCACAGCGCGGACGAAAGTGTGTCCTGAGTGATCGTGACAGACGATCATTAAGGGCAATTGTGACGAAAAATAAGAAGACCACAGCTGCAAAAGTTTACTGCTGAAATGAATGTTGTGTTACCGAACTCTGTGAGTACCAAAACAATTAGAAGGGAGCTTCATAAACAGGGAATTGTTGGCCGTGCTGCAATTGAGAAGCCACTCATCAGTGATGCTAATGCCCGTAACAGGAAAAGTGTGGTTTTTAAGTCATAAAGGCTTGGACTATAGAGCAGTGGAAGCGAGTAATATGGTCTGACGAGTCTTCTTTCACATTGTTTCCCCACTTCTGGCCGAGTTTACGTCTGGAGAACGCCATCTCAAGCCTATAATACAGACTGCTTGTTGCCAAGATGAAACATGGCGGAGGTTTATGTTATGGTTTGGACAGCCATATCGTGGTTCTCTGCTAGCCCCATGATAACTGTGTCAGGGCACATGACTGACAAGACTTATGTGAACATTTTGGCCGATCAAGTTCATCCATGGTACAAACTTTGTTCCCAGATGGTGATGGTGTCTTCCAAGACGACAAATCCCCTGTTCACACAGCTCACATTGTCCAGGACTGGTTTTCTGAGCACGAGGATGAGTTGTCCCATCTCCCCTGGCCAACACAGTCACCAGATCTGAATATTATCGAACCTTTGTGGTCTACATTGGAACGGAAAGTGCGTTCTCGTTATCCACCGCCAACATCGTTATCTGAACTTGCCACCGTTTTGCAGGAAGAATGGTATAATATTCCCTTGGCAAACATACAGGAACTGTATTTATCCATTCCGAGAAGACTGCAAGCTGTTTTGGATGCCAACGGGTTTTCTACACCATATTAAGCTAAGAAACATGTTTTTTTAAAGGTGTTTCCATATTTTTGTCCAACCCCTGTATATCTAGGGTTCTGCTCGTGCTTGTTTCGCCTATTTGACAGAGTAAACAAAGTTAATAGGTGTTAGAATGTTGGAAATCGGTCTGTTCTGTTCAAATAGCCTTGTCTGCCCCAAATGCTACAAGAATTACTGCAGAGGAAGCAGTAGTCAATCATTATTATGCTGCATTAATTGTGCGATTTCAAACTCTGATAAGAATACAAATTTTGACGCATGCTACAAGGTAAGTATTGTAAGATCTGTCTCTTAATTCCACATAAACTAAAGTAGATCCAACAATGAACCTGGCGAATTCTCGCACAGGCGTGAATGAAATACCAGTACAGAAGAAGGGTGCAAATAACCTTTTATTAATTCCAACTAATAATAGAAAGGCGCGATCTTCATGCGTTACAATAACACCATCAACTTGCAGTGAAACTTAAACGTAGAATATAAATCAATTCAAAGTCTAATTAGAATAGTGCTGGATTGCAGGCTAAAGTATGGCTAACCTTAGGTTGACTCAACAAAACCTAACAGGTATGAAAATTATTCGAAGCGGCTAATGGGTGTACTATCGAAACAGCGGGATAAGAACTTAAAGTGCGCTGGCTAGCTTAAAACACGCTCTGAATAATGTTATGTAGAGAATTTGTCTGATAGCGTTATAAAAACTATGTGAATGATTTTATGATTATGGAAATCTTAATTTTTATTTGATTATGAATTATTTATTTTAAGGCTTTAATTTGGGGAAAAACAGATGCTTCTGGAAATATTATTTAGTTTAAAAGAATATTATTTATTTTCCTCTATTTGCAAATCTTG